CAATGAGGCTCTGGCAATCACAGCTGCCAGTTTTTTTAATTGTAAAAAAATACAGATTTTATTTTACAGTGTTAAAGCTAAATAAATAAAGCTACATTTTCATTAGAAGACTGCAGATGGTTTCAGATCTTGCTTTACAGTGGATGGAGTTTGGCCCTTTTAACTCACCAGACTGTTTCATTTTCTGCATCCAGCCCATACCAGCTGAAACACTGGTGGTTGGCTCTAATGGTTTTGATGCCATAGGTGAGATAAATAATTGGTGCCCCCCTTTGCAACACCAGGTCGACCCCACGGCCACAGGGGTAAATTACATATCTCTTGGTGACAGTTTCACATGCCTCCATTGTGGGTGTAGGTGGGTGGCTGGATCTGATCCCAGCTGTCAGTTGGTTAGAGGCAGGTTACAACATGGTTCTAGTTGTTAGCTAATCACAGAGCTGACATGCTGTGAAGACACAGACATGCAGCCACACTCACATTCACACCTATAGGTGTCAGTAATTAACCTAACGAGCACATGTTTGGACTGTGGGAGGAAGACGAAGCCAGACAGAAAAGCACCCGCCCGGCTTTGGTTTCCACCAGGTAGCTTGGTTTGAATCCCTGTCGTTAACCACTGCACCACCATGCAGCACAGACCCTAGAAGTAAAATAGTTAATACGACAACGGGCCACTTTTTTAAAAGTATAGTTAAAAGTATATTAATCATTACAGACCTGCTGCTTCATGTATATCCATCTATCCGTCTGTCTGTGTGTCTGTATGACATCGTCCTGTATAGCTTAACAACAGTACTTATTATCAGTGGTGTAGTAGTGCCTAAAGAAGCGGGTATACTCTCAATTTTTACTCCCAATTTTTTTTAAAGTGGCCCTTCCAGTAGAGTAAAAACAGCCTCTGGTGTAAACAGTGACATGTAAGACTCCTCTTGCATATTAAGACAGTGCGTATTAGCCAATAGAGACAGAGTAGAGAGGGTCATCCCTTCACCATCCTTGGAAAAAAAAATGGCAGCATACTGAATTTTGTCAATCAATCAATGGTGTGAATCAGAGGAGTAAGTCTGTATACTCCTTACACCTGCGCTGCACTACACCTCTTCTTATTATTCATATTCATCAACAAGTATTTTTAATTGACTTCAAACACTTCCTCCTAACCTTCTTTCTCTGCTGGAGGAATATGTTGAGTTCTGTTCTTTTCCACCTGTGACTGAAAATAAAATAAAGAGTAAAGCCAAAATCTTTTAGTCTTTCAAGCAACACGTTTAATATTCATGGAAAAGCTTCCAATGTCCACCTATGACTGTGATGATAAATTATTCATGTTATAATTAACACCTCAACAGTTACACATACGTATGGACCTGTGTCATCACTAACATATTTGAGTATTTAAATGTGTTGGTTCTCTTCCTTGTTTTTCCTTTTTTTTTTGTGTCTTTGATGTTTAATAGTCTTTCTGCCTCAGATACTTAGCTAAACCAACATTGCTGTAATGATAAGCCTCTCTCTGCCTCCTCCTCTGCCAGCCTTGCGTGTGTGTGTGTGTGTGTGTGTGTGTGTGTGTGTGTGTGTGTGTGTGTGTGTGTATTAATGATCCCCTTGTTAAAGTTTAATGTCTCTGTTCCACTGTTGTCAGGGAGATTTACCACTGAGCCCTATGGGAAATGTTTGCCCCGCTGCTTTGAGTCTCATGGCAAACACAAACTCCTACACACACACACACACACACACACACACACACACACACACACACACACAGTAGAGGGGTTGAATATATCCGTTTGAACTATGCATGTACAGAATGCATACGTGGTCGTTTGTCTTGTCATCTCTCGTGTATCAGGTTCGTTACCACAAGTGAGTGAATGAAGACGATAACTGTGGTTGCTCTCTGGAGGGGAAATGTGTGTGTGGATGTTGGGCTGTTCTTCACACATGGTTAACTTCAGCACTAGATCAAGCTCACTGCTGTCTCTTCTTTCCCATGTGTCTCTGCTGGAAGCAAACCATACACACACCGAGGCGGGGTTTGTCTCTTAAACTGAGCTATATGAAAAGAGCTTTTCTTCTTCTTCACTTTGAGCTGAATGTGGTATTTTTCTGAACTTGTATTGGGTGCCTGGGAAGGACACTGAACTCCAATTGTTCCCAGTGGCCTTAACGTTGATGTGTGAATGTGTATGAATGGGATCAGTTAATACTGAAGGGCACTTAAGAAGCCTCTGGCATCAGCTTGTGAAAGTGTGTGTGAATTGGTGAATGTATTGTAATAAAGTGTTTTGATTGGTCAGAAGACTAGAAAAGCCCTATATACGTTCAGTCCAGTCCATATATCATGTATGTAATGATTTTATAAACTACTTTTTGTCAATAACTTTTCTGCACTCTTGTTAAGCACTTTGAACTGCAATTTAGTTTGTCTGAAAGGTGCTATATAAATAAAGTTTGATTGATTGATTGATGTGCTGAATGGGGTGGAAGTTTTTGATCGATGTCATTATGTGCTGCTCTGTAGGTTTCTCGATGACTTCTGTCATTCTTCTGTACTAAGTTGTAGTAGAGTCAGATTTTCTAAATCACTAAATGCATTTCTGTTCACTTGATTGGATCCATTAAAGGGGACAAGGGATTTTAGCTGGGAGGATAGACTTGTCAAACTGTCTCATAACTGGACTGTCAGTGCAGCAAGAAGGTGAAGAAATTGTGGAAATTGGTGCAACATAGTCTGAGAAGTACCAGAACAAGGGCTGTGCTGTTATTCCCTTTTGGCCAAAGGGTTGAAATACTTCAACACTCAGAATGCACGGTGTTCATTGTCTTCCAAGGCCACTCCCAGGCCGTTTCCTATATTGGATAGCCTTGACCAGCGCTTCTGGTGGGTGATTAAAAAAAACTCACAAAGCAGTTTTCCATGTGTTGAGCTGTCAGAGGACGTAAAAGTACAAACAACTTTTGTTTGTTAAAATGACTCAGTGAAGTCACTGCCGCATAATGACTCCACTTCAGTTTGCATCGGTGCACTATTACTACAGCGACACCTTGCAGCGGCTACTTGTTCTTCTGCACACCGTAATTCCTCCGCACTCTATTCTGGCTCATATTAGTAGTCCTGAATGTCTGACTCCAACACATTATCAAAATCCTTTTCCTCCACAGTAACACTGCTTTCTACCATGTTCTTTCAACGTGTGTTCGAACCAGCTAATCTCAGACATGACATTTTGATAGTTGCACCGCCCAGAGGCAGGCACAGGGAAAAATGTGGAAGTACAGGTGGAGGTAAAAATGACATCTGAAAAACTCCACCCGCTGAGTTTTGCTGGCACATGAAAAGGGAGCTTTCCATGCAGACAGTGAGGGGAGTGAAACGTCATTTACATAATACCTACATCAGAGTGACACACGGCGGGTTGAAAATGTTCCCTTTAAGTTGTGCCGCTGTTTGGATTTTCATATCAAACATGTCTACCGATGTTTTTAAAACAGGCAGAACATTGGTCAAAGTTACTCCTAAACTCCACGAGCTCAGGCCGCAGGAGTCGTTTATTTCTTCCTGTCTAGCCGACATCCTCTATTTTCTTATTTCTATGATTAGACATCTCTGTCGGGAATAGTACCACACAGATTGCAGTGATGCTCCGATTAACCCGCTGGATTATGTTTAATACGTTTTTTTGCAACCCTCTTCTTATGACGGACCCTCCAGTCCAACTTCAGATAGAAGAAGAGAAGTCTTTTAGAGACAAAGATGGTTTGGACTAAAAGGCTGTACACAGGGCTGGTAGGAGATTAGGGTAAGTCAGGCAGCAGCAGAGGGGTGCAAATATACATCTGAAAACAAGATTCTGCAAAAAAATGGATTCAGTTGTTATCGGTTTGTCCTTTTAGACCAGAGAAAGTCTTTTCATTGGTTTGGGAAGTCTGTTGAAGAACAACTAGCTGTTAGTTGTACTCTCGCAATAACTCTCCGTTATTATGCCCATGGACACGGCTTCCCTGAGTGGGGCTCATTCAAAATAACACATTTGAAACAAGTTTGAGCCTCTGAGTGACACATGAACAAACTGAAGGAAGCACTGTCCCGTCCACGCATACGCAGAGATTGACTTCACTCTCTGTTTCAGGAAGTCATTTCTCCATAACATATTTGCTTAGAGTATCTTTGACTTTTTTGCTGACAAGTTGACATATTATACCTTTAAGGCTGGAGAGAGTTCATAATAGGTCATTTTAAAAGATGCCCACAAAGCTCTAATTGGCTGACTTTGTAAGCAGCTGTTGGAAATATCTGGCAACACACGAGATGTAGGTGGCAATTCAGAGATTTCAAAGCAGGCTGTGAGTAGTGTACAGTGTGTTTATCTGAGCCACAACAGGATAAAAAGCAGCATAAAGCTGTGAGGAGCTGCAGAGTTTATGAGTGACACCTCACATTACCCTCAGTAATGAGATCAGCGCAGCTTTAACAAATGAGAACTGAGGACACTCGATCCATGTTTGCCTAGAGGTGTTTATACTGTAACCTCATATCCAGCGGCACAGCAACATAACCGATGCTGAGAGGAAAGGAAAAAGACATCAAGCTGTTAGAAATGGAAATAGAGCTTGATTGAAGCTGGGAATAAACATCGTGGCATTATGGGTAAGCGTGCTCTGATCAGAGAACAGATTACACCTCATGCGTTTTTTATTTCCCAGTACAGCAGTCGTAATAGATGCTTACTCCTGTGATCTCCTTTGTTGAGCATCACAACTTCATGTCATAGCACCACACAAGCTGACAAAAACAAAGAAAGACACAGAGTGTACCTCACTTTACAGCGCGACGGCAGGTCACTCGCAGCCATCCTGCATACTTGCCCTCAATAACGGTGTCTGCCTCTAGCATGAATAATGGACGATAATGTTGTCTCCTCACCCTTCTATGAATAATACATTTAAACTATATATCCAATTCTGCCTCTCTCTTTCTCTGTCCATTTCTTAGAGATGCCCAAGACGGAGGCCAGGGGAGACCCATGTGGTAAAGAGTGAATGAAAACAGGATAAAGAAGCAGAAGAGATCAGAAAAAGGAGGCCTCGGAGATGTGAGGAGGGAAGGACTTGAGGCTGGACAGAAACCAGAAGTGTAACAAGGAGGGGTAAGAACGTCCTGCAGGAAGAAAGAGAAAGACACTGGATTGAAAGTGAAAGAGAGGACTGAGGCAGGACAAAAGAACCCTCTTGAAAAGGTAGGAAGGGACAAAGAGGGGGAGAAGAAACACATCTGGATGGTCTCCACAGGGACGGCCAACCGGTTACCGCCCCTCCGAAGATGGCCTCCAACTTCAATGACATCGTCAAGCAGGGCTACGTTCGCATGCGCAGCCGCAAGCTGGGGGTGAGTGTGTGTTTGCATGAATCTGTGCACATCAACTGTGACCAATATGATGATTTTGAAAGACAGCTTTGATTTGCAGCTCATCAGACTGATACGCCAGAGCATGTGTGATTTTCTAGATGGTTGCGAGGCAAATATTTTCTTTTAATGTTACACACGGTGTATTTTTAACAGTGCTCAAAGCTCCTTTGACATCCATCACATTTGACAGCCATTCAATTTAATCTCAGCTGTGAAGTACACATAATTATCCAATGATCCACTATTATGACAATGCATAAATCAGGAGTTTTTATAGCTTATAGGATCTTTTAAACTCTATGGATGATTAAACAGACCACTTCAGGTGACAGCAGGAGAAAGTGGTTTGCGTAACCTGTTTGAAATTGATTTTTTTTTTAATAACAAGAGCATAAATATCTAATGTTGAGGTTGAACATATTTAATACATATGAGGCGTTTAGAGAAACATAGAGTAATGACATCACAAAAAGAAAAAATATTAATATAGACATCTCAGGCCCAAAGTGTCTTCTTTCTTTTTTTTCCACCCGACGCTGTTCTCATTTCCACACCCAGGTATGGAGGACGAGATCTGACAGAAGTATAAATAAATAAATAAATAAATGTATAATTAAATACTGGAATAAATAGATAAAATAATTAATAAATAAATAAATAATTAAATAATTGAATGCATGAATAAATAAATAAAAACTGGTAAATAAATGGGACATAAATAATTAAATGTCTTAAATTTATTTCCACATTTATTTATTTCCACATTTATTTATTTATACATTTACTTATTTCCATATTTATTTATTTATACATTTATTTATTTATACATTTACTAATTTATACATTTATTTATTTATACATTTATGTGTCTGTATGCTAATGAGGTAGGAGGGACTAACATCAGTCTCATTCAAGGCTTCAATAGCAAATAAGCTGTTGCCCCTGTAAGGAGCACAGGTGGCTGCACCATTAACTTTTTAGTTTGTAGCACTGTATGTTTCTGCTATTAAGACAGGTTTTCAAACAGAAACAAATTAATTCCACTCTGCGGTAACACAAACGGGGACAACACTGCAGCGCTCCTGCTGCTCAGTTAAATATATTTCTACATTTAGTGATACATTTAAAATGAGTTTTTAATGAGACAGAGCGCTGAGAGGTGGCAAGCTTCTGATTCTCTTCATGCTCTCCACATGGGTGCTAGCTCCAGTGTTGGTTCTGTTTACAGTTATACAGGCAGAAACATATGCACAAACACATGCACTCACATGCTCCAATGCAGCAGACAGTTGGATTAATAACCTTCTTCTACATAACTAAGATTTCCCCCATTAATACACACTGACTGGAGTTCACCTGTCATCACACTTTTTGTCACAGACCTGCTTTTTATTTATACCTCTGTGATTGTTTTTCCTTTTTAATCTAATGTTGACATTCGAGGAGGTTTCTGGTTTGAATCCCTGTCTGCCAGGAGCCTCTCTGTTCGGAGTCTGCATGTTCTCCCCGTGCATGTGTGAGTTCTCTACGGGTACTCCGGCTCCTCCCACAGTCCAAAGACATGCTCATTAGGTTAACTGCTGACTCTAAATTAGGTGAGAATGTGAGTGTGGCTGATTGTCTGTCTTTATATGTCAGCCCTGTGATTGGCTGTCGAAAAGTCCAGGGTGTAACCCCGCCTCTCGCCCAATGACAGCTGGGATCGGCTCCAGCTACCCTGCGACCCTGAACGGGAAAAGCGGTAAAGATAATAGATAGATATAAGTTGTCATCATTATTATGCTATCAGTATCATTTTAGCCAATGTACAAAGAACAGCCTCCTCCTGTTGTACAAAGATGAAGCCAAAATACCTTTTTGACAGGCGTCGGGCAGAGGCAGCCGTATTGATGTCACACCGCCTCCGATAATAAAAACACACATTTAACAAGCAGGTAAAACAGCAGAGATGCCTCAGTTACAGCCCACAGCAGAACAGATTCTCGTCTCAGTTTGAAGCAGAAACTCTCGGTTATGGAAAGCTCGAGCACTCTTGTGTTGATTTTTTTTGTGACATTTCCTCTCATTCTTCTGCCTTCTCTCTGCTGATCTGGAGCCCACGGAGCTGTCAATCATGGCTTTTTACCTTCTGTGGCATCAGATACCCAAAAGAGAAAACATTTCTCAGAAAAAAAGAAGACGTGAACACTAATCACAGTGATGACGAATATCACAACAAACCTCCGTTTATGAAAACATTTATTTTTGATTTTATAGAATGACATTCTGTTTACATAGAGAAGACGGGAACTGCAGCCAGTAAGTAAGGTGAGCTCTAAATCTTTTGGCTTCTCTCCAGGTGAGGTATTCTGCTGTCTATTCTATGATCAGGCTTCTACAGTTAAGACCTTTAAACTTGTTGATACCGGCTTGTTTAGGTTTGATTGTTCCAGTCACTTCAGTATTTATTGGAGGAATGTCGCTAAAGGTCCTAAGCATGCATATTTAGTTTGACTCATTGTTTAACACAATGAAAGTCTGCTCTGTGTAAGCTTCTGCCTGTGGCTTGAGCTGCACAGACTGCACCGGGGAATGCTAATTTGCGTGAGCGTGAGTCATGTTCAGGTTGCGTAGGCAGTGGAATTCAACTCGAGCATGAGTCATAATATGAAACGCGAATCAATTTGAGCCAGGTTCTGTTCACCAGCTCACTTCAAATAATGCTCTGCTCTCCGCTATCGCTGCTCACACAGCCCGAGAGAGAGCGGCGCCGTGCAGCTCTCTAAAGGAGGCTGATGAAATCCCACTTCAGCATGAGCTCAGTGCTAAGGATACTTCCCAAAATAAAGTTCCCTGCCCTGAAGTTTGAGCTCACTTAACGGCTTATGTATCGAAACAAGTCGGCCTGTGGGAAATAATGTTCTGGTTCTTTACTGCTTGACCTGATGTGAGCTTTCTGTTTATTCTTTGAGTGCCCAGTGTACAAATACGTGGGAGAGAAATAGAGAATGTGTGTGTTTTATCTCCGCTTTTACTGGCAGATGCAAACCTCATGTTTTGAGCGGATGTTTGGGAGTGTATGTGTGTGTGTGTGTGAGTGTGTGTGTGTGTGTCTGCATGCATACGTGTGGACCAGTAAAGACAAAATCAAAGAGTTTATTGTGTGTACAAGCACATATCTTAATAACTTGTTTGTTCACTGACAGATTAAAGTCAGTGGGGGAAAATCTGATTGATTTTGAACATCTGACAGAACACCACAGACTCCATGTGAGTCCTGCATCGGCTCATCAACAGGAACAACACGTACTTGTTGACAGAGTTTTTGTTTTCTACAATCTATTTTTAGCTCGTCCATGTCTTGAGTTCATCAGAGGAAAACTGTTGTGGACGACTTTATCGTCGTGTTTTTCGTTAAACAAAATGAACACTTGATATGACACTGAGTTATCATCTCCCTTTTCCCATTTCTTATTTCAGTTTCTTGGTACTTAATGCATTCAGGTGAATTGCAGGTGTTTCTTTTAAAATCAAACTACTACAGGTTAGAACTTCAGACAGAATGAGAGCATGACGTTCATAGAAAATGTTCTGATTTGCAAAGCTTGCATTGTTTTTGCTTCATACAACTCTGAAAACATTTAACACTGAGTTGATATTTACATAAAATTTGAGCTCAAAGGCAAATTAACTTCCTCTCTTTCTGTCTGTCTGAGTCTCTCTTTAAGGTTTTATTCTGTTTTGTTTTGAGCACTAACTGCTCCAGTTTCCTGTCCTCATGTCCCCCCCCTCTCTCGCTCTATGACACTGCCCCTGTCATTTAATTGCTCTGTGTCTTCTCTTTCTCCCTCTGCGGTTTCTCTGCCCAGAGCACTGATTCCTCTCATCTCATTCTTCCTTTTCCGCCTCATTATCTGTATCCTTTCTCTGCGTTCACTCTATGTCATCTCTCTCTCTCTCTCTCTCTCTCTCTCTCTCTTTTTGCCCTTTTTCATTAACTCTCTTAATCCATCCTCTCTCTGTGCCTGTTTAGTAAGCATTCTGTCCATATGTCAGGATGTGAAGTATGAAGCAGAGATCGTGTGGCGTCAGTGGAATGCAGCCAGCAGGCTTTGTTCAATGAAAGCTGCTTTAATCGTGGATAAAGTGATGTTTATTTATTCTTAAGACTCATTAAAGAAGGTCAATATTTCAACTGTATTTTTTTCAGATTTTCCTTTTTGTTCCCCAGGGATTTACTTTTCAATTGAACCTTTATGCAGACAGTTTCTCTCATTCAGACATGGGGTTAATCTCACACGGGGGGGGGTCATCTTTAGGGAGACCTGGTCAACTGATCATGAGGTCAAAGTTTTTCCAACATGGACTGAATGCACGATAAGGCAACACGCCTTAAGCACTGAGCCATGATCACCTGGTTACAGAAGTTTGAAAGAGAGACATGCGCTTACGTTTAGTTTTAACTCCTGAGGGAGTTATCTGGTTGGCATTGCTTCATTCTGTGTCTGCGGCTCAACCCTGCAGCTACATGTCCGATGTGTCCCTGGGCAGGACACTTAACCCCAATGTGCCTCGTAGGCGGCGTACTAATATGTATGAATGCGATTAGTGAATCCTGAAGGACACTTCACGTAGCAGCCTCTGCCATCAGTGTGTGGATGTGTAGGTGAGACCTGCGATGTGAAAGTGCTTTGAGTAGTAAGAAGACTAGATCAGCGCTATACAAGCTCAAGTCCATTTACTGTGTTGAAAGTTATTTACCGACTTTGTGTCTGTTGTTTGGTGCCGGGCAGTAGAGCCCAGTGTGGGACTGGTTTCTTAATCCCGCTGCCGCTCCACTCCTTCCTGCACCCCCAACATCTGTGTTCAATCCCGCCCACACAAATTCTGAACACTCAGTTGAAAGTTCAGACCTACAAACCCTGCATTCAGTTAAAAGAATGGAAATATAAAAGTGATCACTTAAGTTACGCACCACACGAACAAATAATGTATTCCAG